CCTTTATGTTGCTGAGGCAGCACGGACGGGGGGCAAGTGCACAGCAGTGAAAGCAAAGGCAGCTCCTCCTCGATCCTCACCTACGAAGGCAGATCCTGCTCCACCCACACGTACAAAGCGAGAGCATGAACCCCAGGCCACCCCTCTTCGTACGCCAACACCACGGGCGAAGCAGTTTCCTTCAGCAACCCCTAGCCCTCCTATCCAGCCACCCCAGCTGAAGCGCCCAACGATCCGGGATCAAGACATGGCAGCGGAGCTGGAGCAGTTGAGAAAGGCAGGCCGTTTCAGGTAAAGAGTATATGGAGTTCTGTGGGTAAGATGGTCCAGACTAAAACAAACCTGTATGGGTCTGCACTCATTGAAACCCAAATAACTATATTACATATAGACCCTTAAACCCCATGCCAATAATCCTAAGATCCCGCAACTCAACTACACCCAGACCGTATATTTATCTAGTCACCCCGACAAATGTTATGATTCCTGTTGGCTGGTTCAAAGTCTGCAGGTGCGAGGTTTCAGGTTCTCGATTATAGGATCCTTAAGGGAGGGTGGTTCAAGGGGGGAGGGTATAAGGAATCCTTAGGGGACTGTAAGGGAACCTTAGGGAGTACTAGGGAGGATTAGGGATCACTAGGCTTTATACCCCCCTTGGACCCCCCTCCCTTAAGGATACTACAACTCGACCATTAAACCACCTGCATTAAACATTGCTTTGCAGGACAACGAGAGCTTGCGACGACGGCTGAGCTCAACGAGTGTGGAAGCTGACCCATCCCCGGTTCCTGCGAATCCCAAGCCCACCTGCCCGGTGGGAGGAGGTGTGAAGAAGGGCGCCAGCAATCCTCCGCCGGAGACAGAAGGGGCTAAGGAAAACAGGTTGCGAAGAATTTGCGAAAGGAAACCCTCTGGCCGGATCAATGTTCCGGATAGCATCCACGAGCAGTGGGCCAAGGGAGGGGCAGCCAAACGAGCCCTGAGGGATGAGCTCGAAAAGGTCGGTTGGGACAAGGACTTCATGAATCTGTGTGTATGTATATATACATATAATACCTCACGACCTTAAGGATCTAGCTAGCTTGCTATCTCACAGACTGCAGCAGGAAGCCTTCATTTCGAGCATTACCAAGTCCTCGGAGAAGTTGAATCGAACTTCCAATCGACGCAAGCGAGCCTGGCACACGAGGGAATCCATGGCCAAGAAACTGAATTGGTCGAAGCTACTTGATTCTCAATATAGCTAGCTGCATGCAGTGTGTATGTAGTCACGGAAGTATATTTAGCCATGCCTAGTTTAAGCAGCTAAGGCCGTACATCAACGATGTCTGCAAGTTCTGCGAGAAGGACAAGTCACTGTGGAAGCCGCTAGACTTGAAGAGTTCATGCACGTCTAGATGCCTGAGAATGCATACAGAAGCTATGAAGTTGATCGACTCACTTGTGACGGTTGCTAGCCCCCCCGAAGCCCTATATCTGTATATATATATATATATATATACATTGAACCCGTAAACCGCTATGTACATGCATGCAAACATACATACACACACACACACACCTACACATAAATACACACGCATACACGCATGCCTACATGCATAAGTACACATGTATATATATATATATATACATATATATATATATATATACATATGTATACAAACATGCATACATGTATATATATATATGTGTATACATATACATAAACAGATATACACACATACACACATACATGTCTATCACACATGCATGCATACATGCATGTGTATATATATATATATATATATATATATATATATACATGCATATTTATACACACACACGCACATACATGTACATATATATATACATATATATATATATATATGTATTTATGTATATATATATGTGTATATATATACACACATGCATAGACACATGCAACTATATCTATACATACACACACATAGCATATGTACATACGTACATGCATGCATGCATATACATGTATATATATATATATACACACAGAGAGAAAAATCCACATGTACACATACAGACAGGCACACAGACAGATCATCGTAGACCTTATATATAATATATCAGCCCCAGTCCGATCCCTCAAGCCCAATTTGCTTGTTTATCTATCTGTATTTACTTGTGTATCTATATAGATATGTATACATTGCCTCCTGGCCTGACTTCCTGAGACCTTAGATAAACGCTAGAGTGAATGCCACTATTGATGGCTGAGGAAGGACAAGTACAACAAGAAGCTCAAGAAGTATCTTGTTGATGTTGATGACGAGGAAGAGTCGTACGAGCATGAGGAAGAAAAGGAGGTGGCAGAGGATGTGGGATCCGGGGCCGCTTGTTCTGAACGCTCTGACACATTCTTACCGTGTTGATTCATCCGTTAATTTACCCGACTTGTGTGGCTCCATGTGCCTACACAACTGTAGTTGAGGACCGTGTGGACTTCAAGAGGCTGGGCAAGCAAAAGCCCGCTGAAGTTCTGGATTCCGATGATGAGAGCGAAGACGACAAGCAAGCCGATGAGATCACGCAAGCCAAGCAGGACAACTTGTGTAATTACCGTTGTATTAACTGCTGCAGTGACCTTAGAACATGTCTGGTAGTTTTGCTGATGAGGCCTTCCAGTCCTTCAAGAAGTTTGGTGATGCTCTGCTGACCCGCAATGGCAAGATCGAGGATCTGGCTTCTGCTGTAGAATCCTACGTGTCGGAGCTGGAAGATGGTTCCAATGATGCCAAACGTGTCTCCAAGTGCTGTGACTGTATTTACTTGTTGCATACACAGCTATTGAGATGATGTATGAACAATGCAAAAAAACGGCATGGTATACATGTACGAGCAATCTTCCGAGGTGCCTCGAGGCCCTTCAGAAGGCCGGGAAAATCCTGGAGGATGAGTGTCAAAAGGTGGAGATGACGAAGGCTGAGACCATGAGGCTGTCGACTGACAAGCTGGACTCAGCTGCTGAGAAAACGCTCCTAGTGTGCAAGCGGGTTTTTGTAGATGATTGCACCAGAAGCAAACGCTTAAGTAGACCAGCACAGATGCACGGGTCGCCACATGTGCTCTCAGGCTACTTGACAAGATCGACAAGCAGACCCAGAGCACGAGTGTGGAGTGCCCAGACTAAATTAAAGTCTTCACGCGAGATTTCTGCAAGTGCTATTTTTAGTTTTGACACATCCTACAATCCTTACCATCCCAGCCTGCACGTCGATTTCAGGTGTAGCAAGGTCACGACGGCGGAGAGCACCGCCAAGTATCTCGGCTTGTTGGCAACCAACATGAGTTTCTGGAGCTGCTGGGTTGGAAATGTTGAGGAACTTGCTGAAGCACCTCCGGCACCTACATGGCTGAATGAGCGCTTTTGTCGTTACTGGGGTCTCTGAAACTCGAGAACCTTCTTGTGCTTGCTGGCAGTGGGGTTTGTACCCTAATGGTATGGGCTCGATCACCTATAGCCACCTGTTTCTTTCGTGCTTCTTATATGTTCAGGGTACATCAAGTAGCCCACATTTATACCCTTAGATCCCAGGCTTGCCTACAGCACGGAGGGAGGGGTTCAGACGGGGTACCGGAATGATCTTGTTCCAGAATGCAGAGCTGGCTACTTCCAGTTCTCAATTCGCCACTAGAGCGGGGGAGAACCAGCAACATGATCCTTCCAATGCTGTGAAGTATTATATTATTTGTCTATAGATAGTAATCTAATGACCCCTTACAAGCCTTAAGCCTCAACCCTGTAAACCAGTCCAACACCTTCTGCCGAATTCCGCAACCTATGTAAGACCTCCTAAACCATAAACCGAAAGTCAAGACTTCCCTACCCAGCTGAAACCTATATCCTGATAAGCTTATGTGTGACTGGTGTCTCTCCGGCGGTGCGGTTTAATGCACGATGATGCCAGGGCTAGAAGCAAGATCTCTAGTGCCTCTAGTGACTCTAGTGAGTTGCTGCTCAAGGCAGTCCTGTTCCGAAGACTGTGGCCTGTGAGAACATGCCACTCGCGAAAAACAACACAGTCGACGCATCTCACCCGACCCCCATTGCACTTCTAACATCCTCATCAAGATACACGTAGATGTGGGGTTGGGTTTCCTGTTATTTTTCATTGTAGACCACAGCCTGCTTAACTCTGATAAAGACCATTAAAACCTCAATGAAAGCTGTGCTCGAAGAAAGCCTCAAAAGCTCCATCCCTCGTGCTATCTACATATAAGATATAATACATATATGAATAGATAGATAGATAGATAGGTGGGTAAGTATGTAAATACATAGATACGCCACATACATACTATATGAATATGTATATACATATATATTTATACATACATACATACATTCATACATGTCTGCCCCAAAAAGAAACTGTAACTCGAAACCAAGACCCTCAAGCCCTGAAGCCACGAATCGAAACACGTGCAAGGGGACTCAGACCTGTCCGAAAACCTTTTAAGCCTGGAACTTGAAACCTGGCATTTTCGAAAGCCGTTGAGTACCCCTAAGCGCCCTCATCTCAATCCATATATCAGAACCCTGTGTTAGTGGCCAGGATGGGAGCCTGGCCCCGTTGTCCGACAGCTCGCGAAGCTGATCGCGAGAGGAGTTCCCGCCTTGGCACAGGAATCGTTTTCGTCTCGGTTTCAACACGTTCTGTAAAGGTCACATGGGCCCTATCCCCCCGACTCCTGCTGATAAGTAGATGGTTAGGCTTTGTGTCAGTCGTGTCATTCCACGAGATCCGCATGTACACATTATCATGCTCAAATTCGGGCGGTCTATACAGGTTCTACAAACGGGGTGTCTAGAGGTTTTCTAATCTGTCTCCTGCTCACGTACCTTTCGATCTATCACCCTTTCTTATATATCTATTTGTATCTAGATAAATAAATATGACCATATACATATATATTTATAAATAGATTTATATAGAAAATATACATTTTACTCTATTCATATGCATATTTGCAGTTACGGTTATGCCAGCCCCTTCACTTCCGAGTGTTTACACTGTCTCGATGGGGATGTAATTAGGCATTCGGTTTTGTGGCAGGGATCGAGGCTGCATGGCCGTTCGCTCCGAGATGCTTGCCTTTTTGTCACAGCCAGAGCTGAGTGACGCTACTGCATGTTGCAGCTAGGTACAATTAAGGTTCGTAGCACCGTTTATAGACAGCATCCCTGTTCGGTATGTAGTTGTTGTCGTTCTGCAGCTTAGAATCATGAAGTCTGAGTTCACATATCAAGGGTAGAATATCCGTCAGGGTGTGCATCGGGGTTATACCAAAAAAGATGCTCTGGGGTTGGAAGTCTTAGTCTTAGAGACGTAGATACTTGGTGCATACATACATTCTTTATGAGGACATCGCTGAATCTTGTAGGCCCCGGGGTGGATCTGGCCTAATGGATGATGATTTTCTGCTGGACTTGCTGACATATGACTGCCCGATAACTGGCAAGAAACGCTGTGCTGCATGTCCTGATGACAGCTCCCTGAGCGAGACTTCATGGACACCATGCTGCACTGGAACCGATTCGATAGTTTAATCTGCGAAGTGGTAGAGCAGGTAGAAGCATACCTATATAGTATACTATATAGTTCGTCTACATAACAGACATACTAACCGACCCATGAAGCCACCCCCAAACAGTTAGGCTGCGACCCCGTTTATGTGTTTGCCAACGAAGGACAAGCGCACAACCAGTTGTGGACCTGAACTTCCTGGCCCAGTCACCTACGCCAAGCCAAACATGCTCGACTTCATCCAGCTCCGGAACGCCCGAGCCCCCAGCAAGTGGGCCCCGAGGGAGGTCCAAGGCATCCAAGGTATCTCGGTCGAACAGATGACAGCTTTGAGCAGTCTTGTTGTAAATTAGAATTCTGTTAAGTGGCCTGTGCATCAATTGGATGTACTTCACATGAAGCATGCAGCACTGTATCATGGAATCTGAATTAGCTGATGTGTGCTGATGATTTCATTCGGTTCCAAAAGTTATAGAACAACGCGGTATCTGTATGGTTAATCTTCATGTTTCGTTTTCTGTGCATACTAGCAGATTCTCTATCGTGCTATAAAAATACTTGCTGTCCTGCATCATGTGCAGTCGAGACAACTACGACATGATTGGGAAATTCGAGGGAACTGAAACACTTCGTGCTGATTAGGAGGACGGACGTTTTAAAGCTATAGAGTTTTACCTACTATATGTGTGTATATATACATATATTGGTAGATGTAGGAACTGCTGCAGATCCCAGGTTGAAACTTCGGGCTTTGGAAACTGCTGCTTAGAAGATCTCGCTGCAACAGCTGACCCAGCTGACCTGCCGTGGCTAGCCCTTCGTGAGCATGGCCTGAACAAGCACCTGATGCCCCCAAGAAGACTTTCTGTGACTAGTTCTCGCATCTTACTTCATTGCAAGCAGATGGTTGATGCTTTCCGAGAAAATATGGGCATCAGCTTAACCTGTTTCAAGATAGGTGTGACCTCCAACCCTGTGCCTCGCTTTGTGCTTTATCGCACGAAGAATTTTACTGACATGTGGGTCATTCACTCAAGTATGGATGTGAAGGAAACCCACATGTTGGAGGCTGCTCTCATCTTGTTCTACCAAGATTCCGTAGGCTGTCAGAACAAACCTAACAGTGGCGGGGAAGGGGCCCTAAACCGGAGAACTGCTGTTGGACCATTCTACACGTATGTCGTTGGTGGTAGAGCTGACCAGAACAAAAGAGTGGGTTGATTAGGTAGATAAGTTTCCTCAGCCTATATAAGCTTTAGCATGTTAATTAGCAGGGCCCTGGCTCCACATTGTGCAATCGTAGATGGACTTCGTGGCAAAAGCTACAGGGGAGCTTGTGCCGCAGAAAAAATTGATTGCTGTGCTACACTGATATGAAGCGCACACCTGTCGGAGCATCACTGCATCAGGGAGCGAGTGAGCATGTGAGTGCAGCACCACGAGCATCAGATGGCGTTTGTCGTGCGATCTGTTTCCTGTGCTGAGGCTCCATGCAACCACGCTGTGGAGCAGGCCAAGGCTGCTCTGCAAGAAGCAGGTGGAGTTGGGACACCTGCTTTGCATGAGTTTGCAGCAATCAAACTAAATGATGCAGAAGGTCCGTGTCACAAACTGTTTTACAAGTATGGTCTCAGTGCGGATGTTGCTATGAAAACGATGGATGTTGGGACTGGGGAGCTCAAGAACTTCCCATATATCCCGTTTTCAGAGTGGGTGAAGTTTCTGTTGAACAACGACGAAGTTGAGAGGCTGGTTGGAGTGCCAGCAACAGAGAGGCCAGAGCTTCTTGAAGAGTTCTGGTGCAGGTATGAGCAGTTGTACCCTGCTCATGACATATTCCGCCTCAGCCGCGAAGGACGTGTCAGCCTTCGCCAGACCATACCTGTTTATTGTCATGTGGACGATGGGAGGACCTACAAATCCAAAGGATTGTTTGTGTTGTCGGTCCATGGAGCTCTAGGCCAAGGAACCGCCGCATACAAGCGCCGTCTTGGAGTGAAAAGGACCATCATGAAAAAGAACCCCATGGGCATGAACTACATCGGGAACACGTGGGGAACACATTTCTTTTTCTGTTCGTTGCTGAGACAAGCGATGGCAGATGATGTTACTTTGCTCGACAAGGTTCTTTCAGTGTTTTCCAAAGACATGGAGGACCTCGCAATCAAGGGTGTCCAGAACACCCGGGGAGATGCTCGATTGCATGTGCAGCTCCTTGCAGTGAAGGGGGACCTCCCGGCACTGTCCAAAGTCGGGTCCTTTGAGAGACACTACCTTCGAGCTCCAAAGCGTGCAAACTCGAAGACTCCTTGCATTGGGTGCTGTTGGTTATGCCTGGCCGGCCAGGAGACTCCGAGGCACATCCCGTACGAGGACTTTCGTGATTGCTCTGAGTGGCGCCGCACGTTCTTGAGTGACAAGCCGTGGCTCGCCCGCCCGGCCATATTGGGCTCCCTGCCACTTGATCAAACAGCTGAGCCAATGTTTTTCAGAACTGACCTTTGGCACAATTGGCACAATGGGCTCAGCAAATACTTCATCGCCATCATGATTCACATGTGGATTGTGACGCCAGGTTTGATCAATGCTGGCAGCATCGAGGAGAAGTTCAAGTTTGTGACACGAGACTATTTGAGCTATTGCTCCAGGGCAAGAATCACACCGTACTTGAAGGAATTCACTCGTGATACGATTGGGTTCGACAGTGCAGAAAGCCAACCACACGGCAGTTGGAACAAGGGCGTGGTGTCCACCCACCTCATGCTCTACATCCAAGATTTTTGTTCTCGTATTGTGGATGGCAAGTTTGATGACGACTACCTTTTGAGGACGCTGGCCCCCCTTTGTGCAATCAGTCTTAGGTTTTTCTTTGCTCGACTGTAAATAATATGTAAGTTGGCGAGGTTTCTGTAATGGCATACGGCCAACTTTGAGAAAACATTGTGCAACATCCATGCAGGCAAAATGCACTCGCATCATGAACATCTTCATCTCCAGCTTGTATTCGGAGGGTTTCTGGATCCCATCTACAAGAGGGAGGGAGCTGGGAATGATGCTGCACCGTTTCCTGGTGCTCTATGGACGCTGTGCTGCAGTTGCGCTTGAGCGGCGATTGGATATGTTCACGCTCACGCCGAAAGCCCATATGCTGGACCACCATGCATACGACATGGTGCGACAAGCAGCTGTGGGAACTTGGGTTGAAAATCCCCTATCCACTGCAAATCAACAACAGGAGGATTACATAGGCCGGCCATGCAGATTGTCAAGGCGTGTGCATGCCAGCAAAATTCACTTACGTGTGTTGCAAAGGTCGCTGCTGGCGACTAGTGTACAGCTTGAGGTTGAGGCGGCCTAGATCCTTAAAAGGTTTTTAAACTATATATAGTTAATTAGAACTATAAGAAGTACATAAAGGTTTATGGGAGTTTAGCCTGACTGGGCCCCCGGCTCGACCGCCAGCTTGAAGATCTCCGAGGCCACCGAGGAGTGGAGAGAAAGGAAGGGTGGAGTTGAATCAGGATTGGGTTGATTTTCAGTAAAGGTTTTGGAGGGGATATGGGGCTTCAGATAGGGCTCTTCGTCGGGATGTATATGGAAGCTTGTTAACAGGCTTTTATTCTTGTAGTAATGTATTTCCGAAGGAGTTATATGTTTCATGTTTCGGAGGTTCAAGAGGGCCAACTATAACATATGCAACAATCATACACCTGTGACCTCTGTTTGACTCATGACCCGTATTCCGGAATGCTTTAGAGGACAGCCCTAAAAACAAAGGCCCCGCGGGCTCCAGGTATACCAAAAAGCAGACCCACCAGTTCACAAAGGGCTAGGGGGAACCATTAGGGGGAGGGGGGCGGCCGAACCGGGATCATGTACGGTCCCATGCCCTGCCTCTGCTGGCTCCTGAACCCGCATCAACGACTCTGGTCACTAGAACTGAACTTTGTTGAGTGCCTCGAGTGCCCCGACCGATTCTTTTCCAAATCCCACTGCTCAGGCGAGGTGGATGACATACTCAGGCGACAGCATAGGACACGCGAATGTTGCCCTGTTTCGCCTGAATCTTCTTGATGGAGACCTTGAGGCCAAAGACAGTTTGTGCGTCCGTGACAAGCTCTTACGCCTCGCCTCGCCGATCTCTCCAGAGTGCTCCACATGTGTACCACCACAGCCACAGGAGACACCATCCTGTGAGTTCACACAGAAACACTGACTTCCGACACGAGAGAAAAGCAAGCCGGCTCACCATTGCGATCATTCGTACACCATCCACGAAGTCGATGTTTGTGGAAACCTGGTTCAAGCTAGCTGCTAGCTGAATATTGCAGATGAGACGGTGGCCACCAGCAAGTATTGAACATGAACAAGTGACAGCACACGGAAGAGAATGGGTATTCCTTGTTTGACACTTGGTTGATGCAGGCCGTGCTTCAAACCGAGCCTTGAAGCAC